ACTCATTTCTTCAACGAATGATGCATGATTACTCATTTTAGGTGAAGATAAAAATGCATAAGAGCTTCCATCACTAGATCGATGAATTATTCCATCATAAGGGATCAATCCATTTAATTCACAAACATACATTGATAATAAAACCGCTAGTATTAACATTTTTCTTTCTTTTGTGTTATTATCTCATGGTTTTCTTTATAAATACGTTTGGCGGCTGCGAACAGCTGCAAACATTTCTCATGTATACTACTAGAAAGACTGATAAACAGGACAAAGAAAAATATTATCTTTGAATTTTTTTAATCCTATCGGTTTCTTCACGGAGGAACTATTTCAAGGTGAGGATGTGCGTGGAGGTAAAAAGATAAAACTCAAACCTTGATCCAGATCCACCCTCATCCTTCTCATCTTCAAGATGCTTTCATCGTGATAAATTCACCGAGTGTGATTTTTATTTCCTTGTTTTACAAATTTGATCTAGTAAAACACTTCGTTGCCCATCGGTAAAAACTTCGCCTCTTCTCGCCCAATGTCTTTTTCCGAGCGCATCGATTTCGCTCATCAGTTTGAATATGCTCGTTACGCCATTCCGCCTATTATACGAAAAACCAGTTGATTAAATGAAGTGCAGGAAAAAAGTGTGTTTTACCCAATTAATTCTCAGTATGTCCGCAAAATGCTGTGTGACAACAGGCCTGATTGGATTTCTCCACAGATTGAGTGTCGTGAGGGTCTACATATGGCAGAATACATGAATGGGTCAAGTGTGCAGCAAGAGAATGCTTCTGTTAGTATGGACAATTCCGATATATGTGTTTTGGAGTTGTCTCTATTCATGCCGTCACATATATGAAGGAATTCTCCCATACACATACCTATTCTCTTTCTCGTAGAGAAGAGTCTTAGAAACATAAATTGTTTGCTTGCTTGCTTGCTTGCTTGTATGTCCGCAGGGTAAAAAAAACATCGAAAATCGATTTTTCCGAAAAGACATTTCCAGAGGTATTTTGATTAGGAGATCTCGAATCGGATGTTAGTTTTTATAAATTTTTCATAAAAAACACTTTTTTAGACAAACAACCACTTTTTTGCAAAAAAATTTTTTTAATAAAATTTTACCAAAGGGTTTTTGAGGTCAAGGAATTCAAATCTGATGTTAGTTTCTCGAAATTTTTCATAAAATTTTTTTTTTTGGGGCAAAGGATCATTTCTTTATGAAAAAAAATTTTTTTCATGAAACTTGACCAAAGGTTTTTTGGGTCGAGGAACATGGATCCGATGTCAGCTCTTTGAAATTTTTCATAAAAAAAAATTTTTTTTGAGACAAAGACCCAATTTTTTTACGAAACAAAATTTTTTTTCATGAAATTTCAACAAAGGATATTTTTGGGTCGAGGGATTCAAGTCTGATATTAGTTTTTTAAAATTTTTTATAAAAAATGATTTCTTAGACAAAGAGCCGTTTTTTACAAAAAAAAATTTTTCTATGAAATTTGACTGCATGGTTTTCAATCTCGAGGAACACGAATCTGATGTTAGCTTTTTAAAATTTTTCATAAAAAAAAATTTTTAGGAGAAGGGTTATTTTTTACGGAAAAATTGTTTTTGGGTGCAGTTTGACCGAAGGGTTTTCGAAGTCGAGAATTACGAATCTCAAATCAGGTTTTACATATTATATAAACAGAAACTTCAGTGATATTATAGAGGGTGATTTCTACGAGAAAGAGCTGAGCGAGTCCACAGACGAGCGTTACTTGTTTAGATAATGGACAACGTCTTATGATATTTTGTTCACAATGGAGCATAGAATTCCTTGCTTCCTGTGTTCAATGGCATTCAGACGGCACTTTTAAATGTCGTCCTTTACTTTTCGAACAAATCTACATCATATTTGGCTTCAACAACGTTATGATTCCTTGTATATACTGTTTAACAACGAAAAAAGACGAAGAAGTGTACATTAAAATCTTACATCATATACAAGCTATTGGAGAAAAACAAGGAATTTATTTTAATCCACTTCGTCTTACCTGCGATTTTGAAATCAGCACAATGAATGCCTTTACAAAAGTTTTCCCCATGATTCATATCGCAAATTGTTTTTTCCATTATTCTCAATCTCTATGGCGCAAAGTACAAGAATTAGGCTTAACAAGATATGTTAAATATTCAACATCATCGAAAGATAAAACTCCTACAGAAGACAAGAAAAAAGCCAATCAATGGTTCTTAAGTGCAATTGGACTTGCTTTAATTCCTCCAAACATAATCGAAAACACGTGGACCATGGCTATGGATGAAAGTACACCTGATCATCATTCTTCCATTAAATTCAACGATTATCTGGTATCAACATACGTCGACAGCAGTTCCAGTCGTTTTCATTTTAATACTTGGAATGTCAATGATGCTATTGTCAATAATATGCCTCGTATGAATAACCACGTTGAGGGTTATAACAATATACTTGGTACTTTGTTTCCAATTCATCCACATACATATCGGTTCATTGAACTTTTACGTGATGAACATTTATTTCAGCAACATCAAGCTGAACAATCAAAATGTTTTGTACCAAGAGGTCACAAATCAAGCGATGACATTACAGCTGAACTTCTCTCTCTTCTCAAAAAATACAAAAAAGGTGAACTTGATGGTTTACAATTGTCAATTCAATGTGGTAAAGCAGTTAAAACAAAATTAGTTATCAAATAAAAATATATCCAACTTGTTCTCTCTGTCTTTCTTTCTGTTTCTTAATTGGTCAATAGTATGTATGTATTAAACATGTGTCTTGTTTTCTCTTATTTATTATACAATAAATCATCTTCTATCATTGGTGCAAATATAATTAATTTCTATTGAAGATATTAGGACCGAAAAGAGACAGGGCCGAATTGAGACAATATTATCAGGACCGATACGGACCGAAAAGGGGGACACCCAAATATTAACGATGTAATTCGACGTCATTTCTTTCGTTTCTATCGATAGATTCTTCGTCATGTATAACACCTACATGAAAAAACATTGATTAATGTTTGTTTTTATCGATTATGCAAACTGTTATGTTCGATGTCTAGATGGAAAGAAGGAGAGATAAGGCGAGTTCGTTTCAGTTAGAACATAACTGTGTTTTCTTTTATTCAATCGAACATATATATGACTAACAGCAAAGAAAACACGAAAGAAATAACGAGCGAATAGATGGCATGATATTATGTATCATAACACAAACAAAATGCAAATACATTTTAGAGAAAAAAAAAAGCTTCAATATGACTTCGCATTCATCTTTACGTAAGTTTAGTTTAAATTATTTAATTAGTAGAATGATAATATTTGACTTTTTCTTATAGATTCATTCAAACAATTCAAAAAACATGCTAAAGATAAGGTTGGTGTAATGCAAAACTCAAGCAAAATTTTTTTTGTGAATTTTTTATGAAATCCGATGCAGTTTGATGCGCTGCATCCGAATATGTATGATTTATTTAGATAAAAAGTTTTCTTC